CTATCATTTCCAGTAACTATTAATCCTTTTCATGTCTGCTTCCAACTCTCGACGTAATGTGTTTTCCGGCCTTCCCCTTTTCCCTTTACCTTCAGGATTCCAAGTTAGCTCTTGTCTCGTGATGCAGTTTGATGAACTCCGGTATGTGTGTTCTATCCACTTCCAACGACTTTTCCCAATTCCCTATTCAGTTGAAAGTCTGTTTATTCTTTCCCATAGTAGGTTGTTGCTGAAGATATCCGGTAAACGGATATTCAGTATCTTGCATAGACAATTGTTTATAAATACATGAACCCTTTTGATGATCGTTGCAGTAGTTCTCAAAGTTTCAGCTCCCTACAATAGAACTGTCTCTACGTTCGTATTGAAGATTCTCACTTTAATATTGGTTGACAATTGTTTTGAGTTGTATATGTTCTTCAAGTGTAGGAATAGTGTCCTTGCTTTACCGATCCTCACGTTGACGTCTGCATCGGAATCTCCTTGTTCATCGATGATGCTGCCCAGATGGGTGGGTGAAAGTTTCCACCTCATCCAGACTTTCTCCATCAAGTGTGATTGGGTTGGTGTTCTTCGTGTTGTATTTGAGGATCTCGCTTTTTCCCTTGTGGATGTCGAGGCCTACTAATATAGAGGCTGATGCTACACTGTTTGTCTTGACCTGGAATCGTTCGTGTGTATGAGATAGAAGGGTCAGATCATCTGTGAAGTCCAAATCGTCTACCTGCATCCAGCCAGCTCATTACATCCCGTGCTTCTCCTAAGATGTCAAGGTCTTCATAATTCAGTCAACTTCCAGAAGAAAGAGGAAGGGAGGGAATAAGCAGATATGTCTGACTTTGGTCCCCACTTGGAGTGCATCTGTCAACTATTCTTCATCCACGACTTTGCACTGTAGTCTGTCGTATGAATTCCGAATAATATTAACGATTTTCTCATGTACTCTATAATGTAGAAGAAGTTTCCAATATGTTCTCCTGTCCACACTCCCAAATGCTTTCTCATAATCAAGGAAGTTGGCGTATGGTGACGAGTTCCATCCAGTTGATTGCTTAACTATAATCTGTAGTGTTGCGATTTGATCTGTGCATAACCAATATATATATATATATATATATATATATATATATATATATATATATATATATATATATAAACTAAATGGTTAATTTTCTGATAACCTTATAGTTTATTATAATTAGTACAAATTCTTAATGGCACGATTTTAAAGTTATAGTGAATGCCTTATTTCTGATAGTTTTTAATCAAAATATCAGGTTAATATACAGCTTACCATTTTCCTGAATCTACAGTGTAATTTAAAATGATTGCGACAGGAATATCTCTGTAGTATCAGTTTTACCACAGCATAAGTTGTTTATGGGTGAAAAAATTGACAGATCCTGTAAAGTCTGTTATTTAAAGTGTTAACCGGTTTTCTGTGGTGCTTAAAACTCATTGATAGAGCGTGGAATTAATTATGTAAATATTGACTGTTCATTTAAGATTAAACGATACAACTATTCTATACTTAATAATTTTTTAATAATGGTTCCGTTTATATGTAAGAATAGGTCTTGTACTAAATAATTACATCTAATTAAAGCCAAACAGAGAATGGAGGCTTTAGTAAAGATATATATGCTACGAATTGTAGTTACTTGAACAGAAGTATTGACTAGGATTTATTAGATAATATATATTTGAGATACTTGCAAAATTATAAGACTATGATGTTATTGCCACAAGCCCAAACTTAAACTTTATATCGATTCTCTGAAATTAAATGTTCTCTTATTTTGAATATTTACCTTTAAAAAATATTTAAAACTAACGTCTAATTTGTTTTGAAAGAATTTCCATTTTAAGTATTACAGACTAGAATACATTATGGTTACTAACTTTCAGAGGGACTCTCTAAGTTTTACTGAAGTTCAAACATATAGAGCGAATATCACCGATCGACAATAAATAATCAGTGAGTATTATTATGGATTAATCGATGTTGGACACAGATCAACCCAGATACTCTATCCTGAAGGTCTTGAATTCCTTCTAAAAAAGGGAAATAATAATAATTGCAATTATCACTATTATTATTCAAACTTTCTGTCACTTGAACCTATAAATTAAAATAATGATTCAAAGCAATCTGATTGCAAGTAGACAGCACGAAATCATCATTATATTTTTATTACAATAAAACATGTTTACAACAACATTAATTTTATAATGTTCATCACCATCAATAACAACATTACAACTTCTAAATCGACTAGTTATACCATCGAAATGATTCACCATGTTGTGTCACTATATATATATATATATATATATATATATAATATGACGATGAACTCTTTTTACACACACATACGCGTTTGTGCCCTGTAAAACTTCGCTTGTGACTTGCTTTAAAAAAGTAATTACTGCACCGAATTCAATCGATTATGCACCATGTTCATTTTGATTAGATTACTATCAATACAATTAACAGTATAATTCAAATAATTAAAATGTCATAAAGAATCATGCACTGTAATAGTTAAGAGAATAATAGACATCTTTGTCTATACTGTCAATTATGATGACAAACAGACATATATACACATAGAGCTAAAGATATATGCGAAAACGTAGTAATTAATATTATGTCATAGACTTTGTCACTGTAGAAATTATGTGATAAATTTGAGTTCGTTATTTTTTTTCTGTTTCACTACAATTTGGGGTCAAATGCCTGAGTTCAATGTAACTGATAATTAACTTCACTAACCAATCATTATGGTGATATGTGTATATATAAATTGGATGAGATAATTCAACTTTCATTTGTAACTTAATACAACTTTACTTAAATCGAATTTATCGTTGTCTTTTCAATTAATGAATTCTAGTTAAAGAGTTAAACTCAACTTCAGCTGTGTTCATGTCTTCGATAAAAGATTACATTTGTGTATTCGATTTGATCAATGTCGAAGAAATGAGCACAACTTAGGCTGTTTACTCTGAATCAACTTAAAAAGATCTAGTTTCCAAAAAAAGTAATAAACCGTAAGTTGGATATTTTACCACATCTAGTTATCATGTAACAACCTTTTAAAACTTAGTTTACAATCAATAAACTAATTATGATTTAGATTGAGTTACCGAATTCATTTGTAGATGAATCTAAAATTCAATGATCACCTCCAAATGATCCCGAAGTATTTACACAAGGATTTAAACTAAGCTTCGTTTCCATTAACTTATTTAGATGGGTGGCATATCATAAAATAATATCCAACAGAACTAATTGGCAGTTCAATACATAAATCTGTTGTATCCAGATTTGAAGCAAAACTATTCAAGCGATTATATGAAAGCTTGAAGTTTGAAGAATGGTTTTGTTGGTGAGCAAGATGTAAATATAAAGCTTAATACCAATCTTCTGTTTTTCAGTAGTTATTGAAATAACAGTGTCTAGTTTTCCAGAAATCTCCCGACTTTTAATTGCTTGGAGCTATTTATGGAGAAACCTTGAACTAATATTTCTTGCTAGCTTCCATAATCCAGCAAGGCACGTCTACAATCTTAAGAAAACAAATACTTTTTATGTGATTCGCGACCGAGTCACCCAGTGCTTCAGTCAGATATCATAGCATTCAACTATATGGGTCACATTGTCTGTTCATTTAGTCTGGTGACTGAATCGCGACTTGGTACATAAATACCAAAAAGTACCATGCAGCATAATGTTAGTTAACGTTCAATAAATAATTAGTGTTAAATGATTACCACTAAAGTTCGAATTTTTCCACCGCAAATCATCTCTCGCGAAACTTTTTTATGCATTTACCTAAAATTATACATTTGGTTTATTTAAACGAAGATAAAATAACTGAAGATGGTTCACATTACCAACAAACTTTAGTTAGACACCTGTTGAAAACTTCAGAGGATTGAAGTGTTTTGTTTTAGCAAGGGAACTTTAGGTTGCGCTGTGACTATGTTGTCTCTAGACCACTAATCTGTTATCTAATAGTCTTTATTTTCAACTTAAGCTGATTCCGAGTAGTAAGCGACCACTAAACATTAACATGAGTGATATATTGTCCCCTTTTATAAGTTTTACTTAAGGATTCTAATGATATCATGTTCCAGTCTTTAGAAATTGATAGGCAAAGATACAAAATATATGAGCTACTAAGGGGTTTCTAATTAGCATCACAATAAGTTGTATGGTTTCTTACATAAGTGTGCAGTTGACATAAATCCTAGTTTACTTAAAAAATGAGTCAGAAATAACAAAACTGGCTACATTAGTTACAAAGGTTTGTGGGAGTTATTACGACGAAAAAAAACAACTGATTCTATATCATTCAGAATAAAATTCATAAGGAACTGTCCCCCCCGGAAAAAAACGAATCAATGAGTATAGCTGTACATGAGAAAAGTGTATATTTTCATAACTTGTACAAAATATCAAGAGTTAAAATCGTTTAAGAATGATAAATTGCAACAAATATCGATATGAATAGATTGAGCCAAGAGACATTTCCTTTCAATCAATATTTCGTTATAATTCTACAATAGGCCTTATAGTTAATACTAGAATACATAGTCAATTAAGTTATTTAATGAGATTTCATATTTAAAATTATTTCTCAAAAGAGTTGATCGAGATAATCTGAAGATAAAGGAGAATAAATTAAATGTAAAACTCAAAGGTTTTTAAGCGAAGGTTTTCCCATTAAGGGAATCAGAGCCAAGGTTTTCATTGAGTAAATCAAAACAGAGGTTAGTACAAAAATCAACGGACAACAATTGGATGAGAGAGTTTTATTAAGCAATAAAATCTTAATAGAGTAAATGAAACCAAAGATAATATTAGTTCATTTTATAACTTTACACTGTACAACATCACATTGTTGAAATAAATCAATGAACAAATATCAGAGAGGAATAGATTAATAAAGTAAGAAATTTAATATGTGATAAGTTAACAAAAATCAATTATTTCAACGCCACATCCAATAAAGATCCGGTAATATAAAGTTTATCTTATCCAAATTTAATGGCTCTACAAATGTTGTCATATTATTTTCTGGCTTAGACCATATTCGATCATGTACAACAATTTCTTCAACAGTTTGACTATTATTATTATTATTATGAATGGTAAAATTAGTTTCATCAGGACTAAAACTGAAACTACTAGAAGTTTTAGTTCTATTAAACGAAGATAAATCACGATCACAATAAGATATTTGTCTAGTAAGACATTCTTCATCAAAACGATATAAATTTAATAAATCACTAATATATTCTGGTACTTTATATCCAGATGAAGAATACTTTGTTGTATTACCATTGTTCGTTAATAAAAATGTAATGATTGAATCTAAACTATGCTGACCATCCATTAGTAGGGATTTTGAAATAGACCACGTTTGTTCATTAATTATTTGTGGTTTTTTAGTAAATTTACGTGAATTATGTCGTAATACAGATGAAGAATTTTTAGTTTGAAATTGCATGAATTGTTGTTGCATATTTGTATTGGAACTCGTACTACTGGTTGTGGTAACAGTTGTCGTAGTTGTTGTCATCATTGCAGGAATTGCTTCTTTTGATGACATAACTGATGATGACATCCGATATTTAATATGTTGTTCAGTAGATAATTCTAGTTTATCACTTATAGGATAACATTGAATTCGTCGTATTAAACCATTTACTTCACCAAATTGTACAAGACTTAATAAACTAATTTTACAGTGATGCTGTGTTTGATGATAAGATGCATGGCAATTACAAAGTTTTGATGATCTTACAAACGGAAGGGAATGATATGATGATGTAGAAGAAGAAGATGATGAGTTCATGTAAGATGAACACTCAATAAATCGAATATGTGGATTGGCTGAAATTAAATATGATAAACTAAAATTGGATGAACCACAAAGGATTGTATACAGACGGAAAATATCGTGAATGCATAAACTTTGTAGTTTATGACGATTTGAATTAAACACTATCTGAATGTAAAGGAAACAATACAAAAAATCAAATACATATATAACAATAGTATTTATCATCATTATCGATAAGTACAGAAAGATGTCAAGCCAATAAAAGAAATACCATGACAAACTTGTATCTACACAAGCGTAAATTTAAAATTTTCAGTATATTTCATAAAATCCATTCAGTATAATATATTTTCTGGAAGCCTTCATCCAAACCTTAGCAATATTAAGGGGTTAGTTCAAACAGTCTACATCCCAACATAAAATGATCAATAGAGTTCTAAAACTTAACAATGACAACGTCCAAAAAACAAGCACTTATATTTTGAGTGATCTCATTAGGCATGAGTCAGTCAGTCAGTCAGCTACAACGTAGGACCAGGCACACTTATGCATCGGTCCAAGTTGCCATACCTCATTAACACAACAAGATGGACACCGGATTCATACAAGTAGCTAATTCAGAGGTAATATATAAAGGAAAGATTGCAATAGTACAGCAAGAAAGAATTAGTTCGTAGAAAGAAAGATATGAAGCAATTTTAATCTCTTAGTTTAAGGGAAGATAGAGAGTGTATACACCGACGCCATTGTGATCGATTCTGAGCTATGTCACCAAGAGTCTCCAACCATTGGTTATGGCAGTCACGCGGACCCCAACCAAGTAGTCTGCATCTACCAACATGGATAAGACTAGAATCATTAGGCATGAGGTAACTTTTTAAGCATTAAACCCTCGTAAACTTCTAATATCATCTTCCTCAAAACCGTGTATTAGTTTTGTTTGATCGTTTTATTTCCATTTCTTCCAAATTAGATTACCTTTTGTATGTTACATTATGCTACTTATTAACATTTAGTAACTAACTTCATTTTTGATCATTTTGAGCGTATCGCGAGTTACATCCTCCGATTGTTCAGTGGTATTGATAGCTGTTTTTATGAATTTTTAACATTAAACTTACTTATTATTGTAATTGAAGCTTCGTAATATTTGTAATAACTAATTTAATTCTTTTTTGCATTCGTTGAGCTGTTAGTAACCTGTCAGAATAGGGTTGTGGAGATCGGTTTTTTTCGAGATCATGAACTGATCAATGTTAGACCACCATTAGAAACCTGGAAGCACTGGACACTCACTTCGTCCTAGTATAGTGCTCTTCCGCAGTGTCCAACCACGTCTCCGTATGCAGGACTCAAACCTAGGACCTACGGTGTGGCGCGAATGCTTAGCCCCATTTTGACCGCTTTCTGGCATTGTGATTTTGAACATAGTTATTATGCAGCCTATTATATTTTTTGTAAAGAATTTCTGTATACCTATTACAAGAAACATTTTTCCTTTGGTTATATACTGGTGCAATAAGCACTAATTGAGGTTTATATATTTTCGTAGCAGTAGGAGTACCATATTCTAGACAAATACTTCTTTTTTTATTTTGAGAACGTAACTCAGTCGTTTGACCGGAAGCCTTAATGGAAATAACACGGCTTCGGATAGCCGTATGACACGAAGCAGTCTGCTAACAAACTGAATAGGAAGCCTTTGGAAGATAACATATGAACACCTAAGCGTGAATTGCAAGTACGATAATTTGGAAAGCAACAATAAAACTCTGTAAAAATAGTGGCCAAGCGCAGAATGACAACCTTGTTTGAATTAATCAAAATGAAACGAGCAGTTACGATCATAATACTTTTTTAGACACCTAGTTCTATTGCTAACAGTAGCAAGTTTTAAACAAAAAAAACATTGTTAATATGATAAACCACTGAAAATCATGTGATTTTTAGTCTATCGAAATTGAACTACTGAAATAAAGCCATACATTTTTGTTTTTACATTGGCCATCGTCGTTCATGTGATGGCTAATTAAGTAGTCTGTATATTGAGATGAATAACTCTACATTTAATACTGATATCCAACGATCGACTTTAGCTAGTAGTGCAACCAAAAGTATAAGAAATAAAAGCAAGTGAAATGCTTACCACAGTTTCCAAGCACATTTTGCTAAGAGAGGAGTCTGTAAGTAGAGTGGCCAGTCGTGGTAAACCTAGCCATCCAGGAATAAGTGTTGAATTGGAAAACTTATCAGCTTGAAGAAGCTGCATTATAAATGTAGGATATGGTAAGGCACGAACTAATCCTATTCGAGCAAGCTCAATTAAACATAAACGAGCTATAGCCACATCTAATTGAGCTAACTGAGCCAATTCAATTAAACGTCGTCTACCGTTGATATAAGGTAAAACACGTTGAGCCACAGCATCCAATGGTCTCCAACCACCATTCAAATTGTAACCCATTTTAGACTGACGATGATAAGTTGGAGAAGCGATTAAAACAAACACACAATTATCAGTAATCTCTGATTCACTTTGAGGATTGAAATTAGGAAAAACAACTTGATTATTATGGTGAAGATTGAACTGTCGGATTTTTTGACCAAATTCTAATCCCCGATCATTATCATCAACATTATTATCTTTTAAAATCTCTTCAGACACCAGTTCAAACATATCGAATGACAAATTGCTATACGACCCATGATCCTGTCTAGGACTAAACTAGTAGAAAAAATTGGAACTATATGAAGAAATCTAAAATATTTAACTTAATGAAGTGAAAAATATTTCGAAGAAATTAATTCTTATAAATAATTAAACCCAAAACTGTGTTAAATTAGTTTAGATATCATGCTTACTTCATCAAAAGATAATGATTAAGAAAAAGTCAAACAACATTCATAAACAATGAACATCAACTGAAAAGTCATCATCCGACTTTCTGTATGTGTATGAGTTCCACTTCACCGATTACAATTCATGTCAGTACGCAAATAGTGTACTAAATTTATTGGAAGTTATCTAATTTTGACTAAATAATACCAAAGTTTACGCCACGGTCTATATAAGGTTAGTGAACTAGTTGACGCTATTTTCAAACACCAGATTAGCTTAGCTTCACATGGCTGTCAAGTGACAGGAATGACCTTGGCGCATTGCTACCACGGTTGCCTGTTTTATTTTTTGCTTCGGCTGTTTCAACGAGACAAATTCTGGCATCGAGAAGATTGTTAGTTGTATACATAACATTTGAGAAATAATTTTGAAGACATTGATAGGATCGATAAAACATACCCGTAAGTACAAAGAGCCACTATTGGGAAACGAAAGAATACACATTCCGGATTCATGTAATTGTTTGTAAATTGATTTAAGACGGAGTAATTTTACGCACTTTTCTACACCTTCATGATGTCCTAATGAGCGAGACAGAAATCCACATTGTTCTTCTAAAGCATAAAAATATCTATTAATCTTTAGTGTTAATGCCTCGTAAGCTGCTTGGACGTTAGGTCTCAAACCGCCGGCTGAATAATCGTCCCAGAACTGCCAGTGTGATATATCATCCCGATTAGCAGTTGCTTTTGGCTTAATGACAAGACATATATTGAACTGCAATGTATTTCTCTTATACTGGACACCTTCGATGCGTTGCAGGCAGCCGATCACATAGTGTCTAAAAGCCTCTATTGTTACTAACCGGAAAGCTAATTCAGCTCGCGGGATAACAGCGTTGCCAATCTCCTTAAATTGGGTCTGTAAAAAACAAATGAGAAAATGGTAGTGTGTTATAAGTCATCCACTGTAAACAATAGTAAGATTATTGACTGCAAGAAGCTAACCATCTAACACGGTAATAAGAGGTACGTCTAACGAATGAGATAGGCACAGAGGTGAATAAAACACTGAAACAACTTAAAGTTCAAACAAAAAGTGATCTTAATTGTGAAAGGCTTTTATTCACATATGGCTTTGACACAGTTAGGTGTGAGTTTCATTTGCAAAGCGTTAATTAGATGATAATGCAACAAGATACCACTATGCTCAGTCGTAAATCAGTTTGCTATTTATTGAAATTGCAATGAATCTTAAGCATCATTTTTGTAAAATAGAGATACATTGATTTAGAGATAACAACAAAGTGCTATTGATGTTTGCTCAGGAAGTCCAATAAGTGAGGTTGTCTGAATACGAAATACATCGCTCCATGGTTACTCCATATTGTAAATATATGGAAAAGACCATAAAGGGATAAATTCTGTTGCTTAGGCTACCAAAAAGTTTGCCGTCTACTATCGTATTTATTTTCACATTACACAATATAACCATTCAACTCTACACTTTCGATTTGTCTTGGATGCTGGGGTTAGGAATCTTTAATAATCTTTCAGACCTCTCCATAGGATTGTCCATACTTAGCTTCAATATACTGTAACTAATGTTGATGTCAAGCAGCTTATACTCACGTATAGTGGATATTACAATTCAAAAAGAATTAAAGTCTTTAACTACTGGTTATAGCGGCGTAGCTACGTTCTACAAACGACGATCAAGTGGCCTTTTTACCTAGTGATCTTCACTGACAATGAAACTAGACGGAAGAAAAACTGTGAACAAACTATAACATAGAGCCGTGGAACCACGGATAGCCCAATTAGACTTCTACGGGTGGTGTACCAAAGGTTATACAGCTCAGTGGTATAAGACGTAACCAGACATCTCAAAATAGGAACCAGTAGTGATATTGATGTAATCTTTTACTACATTCTCCATAAAAAGCAAGATATATGTCTATCAAGAAGTAATGGTTGTTTTATTTTAACTATATTCTTCAAAATATAGTTGTTATTTATTTGACGATTTCTTTCTTCTATAATACGGTATTTTGACGATATGTGCGCCATTTGTTGGCATCTTATTATACGCAGCTTCTTGAATTACAAATAAAAAAACATTGGGTATAACTTTTTCGAAGTATGATGCAAAGATTGACATTTTGTTTCGAAGTTAAAAAGTGATGTAAAAACAAGCTACTTAGTGAAACATAGCCAGGGAAGTTGATTTCTCCACTAAACTGATTAGTTTAGATGACAAGCAATTTAAGCTTAGATCAAAATCTACAAACTTTTAAGAACTGGACATAGATTTTAAAATACTGGATAATATATATAACTAAAGGGAAACATACCGGGGATACATAGTTGTGTGGATACTGATAGGCGATTACAGTCCCCTGGACATTTTCAAAGGTAGCACAAAGGATTGCGGCTAGTTCCGTGGTTCGAACTCCGGCCTGTAAACAAGATCTAAAATGTTAGTTTGTTTATATATGTCACTATTTTGATAATAATTTCGTTGACTTTCAAATGAAAACTTTTGTGGTTGACTTAAATGTACAACCACAAAATCAAGTTAATGTGATGACCAAAAAGTCGAAATTATTCCACACAATATATCTAAATTGTTATATTTCGGTAAATTTACATATTATTAGTGGAAATTTGCTGTACTCAACATTCAATAGCTTTTCAAGTACATCTAGTTACTTTCATAATTATTAACAGGACAACAGATACATTCGAGGGATAAAACTTAGTCATCTACTTTATAAATATGAGTTTTATTTCAAAATGTAATTAAACCAACCTACTGACCCACGTACTATTTAAAATCAATACAAATTCAGGTTAAAGACTACAAACAAGCACAATCCATTCTTAAACCGTTGGATCAATTTCAGAAACATTTTACAGAAATAGCACGTATATTGTAGAATGTAGATGAGAACTTGGTAGATAAGAAGTGACATGAGCTGATAAACGTTCAGAAAATTAAAGAAAAGATGTACGAAGATAGAAATAAGTTGATGTAAAGGGATAAATCATATTTTTGGAATAAAAATGAAATGCATGATGTGCGAAAAATTTTGGGAGCTAATACTAAGACTGGGAACAAGCAGTCATCACACAACCCTTCTAGCTTTGCGATGACGCGACTTTAATTCACTTTCCATCCCACTTTATTATGTTGAGAAGTATTACTTGTACGCACATTACTAACAGACCACAAAGTGTCATGTTTACTAGCGATGTCGGTTTATGAGACGAAAATATTCAAACGAACTACTACGTCAGTCAGGTACAACGTAGCACCAGGCACACATATGCATCGGTCCAAGTTGCCACAACTCATTAGCACAACAAGTACATGGAACATTCAACTAGAAGTGTTAAATTTTTTGGTAACTTTAAGAATTACTGGCAAAAGCTCCACAAAAAGCCCAGTGATATTTCATCGGGATTGAGGAGACAGTATAGAAAGACGAACCAACGAACAAAATGGAGCAGATATCATAATTTCACACTATCAGTGTAATAACTTGAGACACCACAGGCTTAGAGACAGATTGAGAATCTATGGAAACGTATGAAAACATTATCGCTTATTTCGAACCTTAAATATAAGTAGGATGAAAAGAAAATAGTCAATCATAGTTTATTATTTAGAAATTGGTCACTTAAAGCAAAAATATTACTTGACTGACTACTTGTCCAGAGTCAATTATTGCTGTTTAAATTACTTGTATGCTGAAACTTATGTCATCAATATTTATTGGTAAAAGAAGACAATAAGTTCAGAAGTCTTGAAATCACTTGAATAACCAACAAACCTGTGATATTCCCCAAAAATGATTAAACGCACTCCAAACTTAGAACTGTAGTAGCTAGGGTGAAAGGATACAGCTTCTCTTGTTTGTTCTCATGTTCTTGAGTCTATTTTAAATGTATAGTTGAAAGGTATAATAATTTAGACTGATATTACTTCGAACCATGATCTACACTAAAGCGTCTGTTCATGATTAGACTAATGTATTGTTTATTTATTGAAGATCGTTAATTATTGCTACAATAGACAACTAACAAGTAATACTTTTGTAAATATGTCATCAAGTTACCCTGGTTTGCGAGCAATTAATAGAACAATGGATTTGATTGTTTGAAAGTTCCAAGGTTCAGTAATACAAAGAATATCCACCTCAGACAAAAGCAGGACATAAATAGATAGAGCGTAAATATCTCTAGTGTGCTTCTGATTAGGAGTAAGATAATGGATAAGACAACAAGACAGATTTTCCGAAACGTCTAAGAGCTGTATTACGAACAAATAACTTAAGAAATTGACAAGCAAAATTCTTCATATAAGCAGAACAAATTTTATATGAAATAATTTATTCAATTTGAGCACAAATCAACTGAGTAATAAGTTCATCTGGCACACGAGCAACTTTTCGAGGGTATCGAGTAAGTGTGTGAGGACATAGCATCTCAGTCCATCCAACAGGAACAAGGGGAGAGCCACTTGTACTGCCAAGAAGTTCGAGAAAGCTGTTATCAGGAGACCTTCCAAGACCAAGGACCACGCCTAAATCAGGCTCAGCAGTAGATAGAAGACAAACAGAACTGGAGCCACTTATGTTTGCATCATTGGTGGCCGCCACTGAACAGGATATAGCCTGAGTAGTTAACAACGTGGATAACGTCTGTGGTGAAGTGCTAGACATAAAGGAACCAGTGTTGGTATATGCTCCAGGACCCAAGAGATTAATAACACGAGCTCGAACAATATCTCCTGGCCTAAAACAGCAGCCTGGTTCTGCTTGATCGCGTTGCGTAGCACGAATATCCTCACGTCTTATGAGACCTTTGAATGGTCCGGCAAGGCAAACTTCTCCAATCGCGACGATATCGCAGCGAACAAATCTTCGTGTAATACTAGAAACCTATGGTGAAAAGTCAAACTTCATTAAGGAGGTTGGGGGCTTTCAATGTTTTCAAAAAGAGCAAAACAAATAATTATCTATTTCATCGTTCTTTTGATCATGGATTTAAATCATTCAAAGAAGATAAACTAATTGTTGGTACTACGAATATGCAGAAAACTAAGGGATGGTAATAACCATTACGTAAACTGATATACAAGCTAACTAAGCATATGATGAGAGGGGAGAAGGATAAAGAATGTAGCATCAGCATACGAAACGACAATGTTCGATGAAAACGTTTGTAATATATTTATGGTTCGTTAAATGTAATAGTGATTTGATGTAACTTAATAACAAGGTTCAGATTTAGTCCATTGGTTTTGAGACTGTGATTTAGTGGTATAGATTGAAGCGCAGTGAGGCTTGAATCTGAAGTGGAAAGTTGAGCGGTTCGACCAATCCATTACTTTGGGGCAAAGAATGAAACTGGCAAGAGCCCGTAACTACACTAACTTGTGAATTGCTGGGAATAGTGAAGTTTTGTATATGTGAGTAGGTGTTAGTAAAAATCGTACTGCGGAAGGAGCTGACAGTATACCATCTATGAAAATAATTATACAAATCCCTATTTTTTATTTTTTCAGTGATCCATTATATGATACTGTAATGCCATTATTTCTCTTTTCAACCTGAACTCTCTAAAGTAGTCAATTAACGAGTGTCTAATTCGAAACTTATTTAAAAATAATTAGAAGCTTGATACGAATATCTACTTGCCACACTTCAGACTACGATATGCATCATTAGAGTCTTAATGTTTGGGGATATACAACGATAAAGGGCAGATTCTAATTGAAGATATTTTGGTTTTTACCTTAAGAGAACAAGGACAATATGCGAACTTACACACCTAACTAGATGCAAAAGTTCTGGAAACAGTACTTTAACCTTGAAATAAACATACAAAACTAATTAACTGACAGGGAAATAGATATGCAACTTGTACCACCACTTAGCTGATTGTATGGTTAGTATGCATTACAAACAAAAAAGCCGTTAAAGGCACGCTTTACTAACTTACTTTGGCCAACACAATTGACCCGGTGTAAGGAACTATGCCAGCAGTTTTCAACGGCACAACTGAAAATGTTTTCTAACATAAGCAACGAATTAATGGATAAGCATACTGATCCGTCCGTATGTGATTCCTCCTTGACATATCCAAATGCACTTGACAGTATATTCCCCGAGCAACAGTACGTCGACGGCCCACTTTTCTTATTGACGTCTAAAGGGGATATAAGGTCCCCAGGGACTACAATTCTACTGCTACACATTAAGTTTGATTTTTGAAAAACACTATAACTGTCATACGTCAAAGCCTGAGCTGAGTATGAATTTTGTCTACGAGTACGACAATCTAAAATATAAAAGGCGTGTGGATAATCACAACAAAACAAACTAGACGAAGTAGTTGGGAAACTCACCGTTACGTATACGTTTGAACGGGACTCTAAGACCGTCCACAATCCAATATTACTAATTAAACTAACATTGACCTTTTAAACTTTTCAAGGTAAAATTTAATAATTATTTTTTTCTTGGAATCTTTCCTTGAGGATTGTTTCGTCGATCCTTCAAGAGCCCACAAGGCGTAAAATATTGGTCATAAAGTGCTCCGGGAAACATTCCCTAAGTAATCTGCTTCATCCCTATTAGAACTAGAGTAAATACCAAATCTCTATCAGAAAAAATAACAAGATCGCTCTTCACTATCACCTCCTTGTGTGAATTCCATGGTGTAACTAGTGATCACGTGGTATTTCCCTTTAATTTTATACCTATTCTTCAGTGTTCTTCTCTTTAGTGATGTATCAGTCCTTGAAACTGAGACTGAAATGTAATAGCAAACTATTATGACAGAGGATTGTGAGTGTTATGGAACGTCTGATCCTTTTAAACGTTAAGGGGAGTGAGTTTGGTTCTTGGTGAGCTGGCCAACACTTTTACTTAGTAAAGGTACTTCTATTTTTCTTTGCATCCATTTATTTCAATCAAGCTTCCTTAAAAACTCAGAACAACTATGCTACCTTCGATTTCACCTTGAGTCTCAAGTTATTCCGCAAATAACTTCAAAAATTACTGACAAACGATTGGAGGAAAAGTAGTCCTCAGCTTGATGTTGTGAATCGATACGACAGAACAGATTGGATTCCAGAAGCCTCTAGTCGTCCATAAGCTAGTCCTTCGGCATCGTAATCAAGCACCTAATAATACGGAATGACTTCGTTTTCAGTCAAACAGCCATGTGATCGACCTTGTCAAATGCCTTGGAAGTATTTGTATCTTATACACTCACGACAATTATGCTCCATTGATAAAGTTCAATAATTTAAGTTTGTCGACAGGTCCGTTTAATGTAATATATCTTGAAGTAATCTGTGTTGAAGGTTTAAAAAGGAAAAGGTTTTCATTTGAATAATATCTGACTTACCCTATGATTCTTACCACAACTTTCCCAGTCTTAGAGAGTAAACGGGTCGAGTTCTGATTGAAAGCTTTAACCTTATTACCCTCTTTATTAATGAGTGTAACGGTATGGGCATGTTTGCTTCGGAGAAAACTATTTTCTTAACAAGCCATATGTGAGTCTTTTCTCATCCACAGACTTGATAAAATGAGTCTGGAATTTTATCTTGCCACCTTTTTAAGAGATAATTTTTTCGTACTTAATAATATCTGGGGTTATTGGAAAAGCGTGTTGAATTCCTGAGTTTACAGTGGCTTCCAGTGATTTTGGACGCGTTGAACTTGAGATGTTTCGAAAACTTCCATATTTTAACACAGGAGAATAAATACGTCAGTAGACTACGGAGTCTCCTCACATAGGTACCATAATTTATCCTCGTCGATATGGTTGTCACGAATGGCTGATTACTTTCAACATGAGCTCATCTACGTTGTCTTTTGGAAAATCTCCATCAAATAAGGTTGCCAGGCATAATACAACCGCCTAACATATGTGACGTTGAAGCTACACAATCCGAAGGCACTATTTTGGTACCCTCTAATGAAGTGGCCATGATGTCTCACTTATTAAGCACTTGAGTTTGGTCACATCTAATGAGCGCGCTGTTATATTAACATAGTGGACCATAAAATACATTTTAATCATCCGGGACTTTAAAATGTCATAGTAAGGAACCGTTTTTATTGAGGTTTTAAATCCATGGCTTAAACTTTATGGGATTTCCTCTAACTATCGCAATCCCCATGTCGTTCTATGATGAACTTGTAGATTACCAACCTAGGTGATCCGTGGCAATGATTGAGGATTTACTAGTGTCGATGGGAGTAACGAGCTATCCAGTTTTCGTCTACGTCAGACCTCACGGCTGACACCGAAGTTGAATTACACCGTCGTATCCAGGTTTTATGACTACTATAATTATCGTACGACACAAATAACATTAGTGCATAACTATGTTAGTCAGAATAGGCAGAAGAAACGGGGTATGACCAGCTGCATCCCCCATAATTTACCATGGTTTTCATTAGTGTATATCAGCAACTGGTTCCTATCCCGTTTATTATCATCTCCGTCTCCCCCTTAATTCTTTCAATTCCGTTGCCTTAAACATTACCGAATAATTCCAATTATTACTTTACTATTTTCACATTGCGATCAACAAACCTCATGCCTGGTGATGCGATAGCTGCTGGTAACCAGAGTGCCTACTACCCAGAGGAAAACTCACCCACTCAAATCACATGACATACAAATCCCTGTATAGCTACCGAACTGGCAAGAATTAGTGCAGTCAAGTGGGTAGACTGTAGAACTACGGTGTACTTTGTTATTAGTACTGCTCCAATAATAGACCTAATGATAAAATTGTAGATTTTACATAATGTAACTGCCTAATCTATAGTATCTTATGTGGAAGTCACATTATCTACACTGACCCATTATATCGTAACAATTACCAAAATATGGTGGAGTACACATTTAGACTGGAGATAACATATTTTATATGAATGAAAGAGATAAGTTGCACAAGAATGATCACGCTTGCGAGGCTGAGCCATGCCACCCGATCAAACTGAACTGACGTTCCCGCTTTTCTTGGTCTACCATCTCTTCGTTGTCAATTGTGGAATATAAGTCTTTTCAGTAATTATATGTTTTGCTTCAAAGGTTGTGTGGCTAGGGTCTAATTGTTACGTCCAAGTTTTGCTCGTTCCAGTTATTGAAGTACGGACTATCGATCTACTCGCAAATTACGAACCCAAATTAACAACAGAACCAAATCCCAATTTAGATACCAAATTTATTCGTAATTCACAAGTAATCGACCAAATGTCGTTCTAACAACAATAATTACAACAATTACAAAACAAACCTTCAATTTTGTAGGTTCCCGGAGCGAAACTCCCAAATATCAAACCAAAGACAAAGAGAGCACTAAAATACCAAACCAAAGACAAACCAAAATGTCCGAAATAATGATATAAACAAACAAGTTCAAAAGTAAAACAATTACATCCAAAAAACACAGTAAATTATTAATGTACAATAAAAGGTTTTAATCCGTCAAAAGTCTTCAGTTCTCCCGTAACACTCCCGACCAAAAGAACCTTGGTTCTTTTCAGACAAATAAATAGACAACAAGAATCCAAGTATATGCATCACAAACAATCAACAACAGACACTCAATATACCAGCAATCTCGTGATCCCTAGGACTTACACCAGTACGCCTAGGGATCCGAGTAGCTACCTAATATCTACAACTTCTAGACGCAGTTTTCTAATATCTCTTACCAAGATCCCTACGCTTGTCCGCAACTCCATCGGTCTTAACCTATTACTATTAGGTATCATTTTCCTTACCAGACCTAATAACCATTTGTCTTTCTCTAAAAACCCAGTACATGTAGTCACCAAGTTACTCTCTCCTATGTTCATCTCTGGTTGAGTCCATTTGTGTCTAAGTTGCAATAATGAAACATATTCCTTAGACAAACGTTTCCAAAATATTTGAGCCAACATAAACAACAGCAATATCAGCCATCTAACAAAATGCTTCCTCCTCCATAAAAGCTCATATACGCTAACGTAAACATGAATATATAAACACATATAGAGGACCGATGCATTAATTCCTTTATTTACCGCGAACTCTTTATTCTGATTCCAAATCGTAACATTGTTGGACCCTTCTAGTTCTTTTAGAAAATGAATAACCATAACACATGGCTTCAGGCACCATTGCATATTCACACACAAACAACTATTTGAGTCCGCAGAACATAAAGCCCATCTTCCAATCATCATTGGATTTAAAGTTCGTAACGGTGAATTCGTTATCTTCACCTTGCTAATGGTATCAGACGATAACATTTCAATCTCTTTCCGAAATACTATGCGTTGGACATATAGAATTAAATCTAAACAAGCAAAATTTAACTCATCAAATCTAAGCATACCCACCTGTTGAGACAGATCAGTTCTACCAGAACGCATTACCAGTAAATATCGCTTAAATCGGATTAACCACGCAGCAGCCTTAAGTAATCTAGTCCAATCTGAATAATAATTAATAAGTTGATCAACAGTGGATTTTTCAGCCATTACATGCGCCGACATTGCCTTCTTTATTTCCAATAGATGAGGGTCAGGACCTTGTACATCAGCGGCAGGCCAACGCTCCTTCGGCTTCTTGAGAAAACGTGGACCCTCCTCCCATACCTTGACATCATCAATGTCAAACTTGACCCCTCTGGATGCAAAGTCTGATATGTTTTCTTTAGAAGGTACGAATCTCGATTGGTCCACCTTAGTAAGACTGTGAATAGTCGAAATTCGATTTGCTATGAATGTTTTAAACTGGCTTTTCTCATTTCTAATATAGTGTAAGACAATCATAGAATCCGTCCAAAAATTAACCTCTGCAAACTTAATATCTAATTCTGACTGCAGCTGGGATCCCATGCGAGCTGTCAAAACTGCTGCCGTAAGTTCCAAGCGCGGTATAGTTTGGACCTTCGAGGGGGCTACTCTTGCCTTAGCCGTTTGTCGTATATCACAGTCTTCCCACCACAATAGACGAAATGCTCCCCTGTCTTGTCTCGGAATCTTTACTTGAAGAAACATCTCTTCGATATCAGCAGCTAATGCTACGTTACCTAATCTGAATCGTAGAAGTACACCAATTAAACTATTTACAGTATTCGGTCCTCTCAAAAGCTGGTCATTAAGAGAACAACCTTGATAGACAGCCGCACAATCATAAACAATTCTCAATTTTCCAGGCTTTTTAGGGTTGATAACAGGATGATGAGGAATATATTAACAAACAGCATCACAGTCAAATCCCTCTTCACTAGCTTCAATGATGTAGCCCTTACTTAAATGTTTATTCATCACAACTTGATATTTCTCCAAAAGACTGTTATCTTTCATAAACCTCCTCCTTAAGCATTCCAGTCTGCGTCCAGCTAGTTCCAAATTATTCGGTAGTCTTGGCTTATCATACTTCCATGGTAGACCAACTTGGAAATGACCACCCTCCAATCTAAACGAACTGCTAGCTATTTCTAGAGCTTTTTTATCTTCGACAGGATATCCATTACGAAACTTATTCGTATCCTCGAACTCATGATCATATAATCTTCCTAAATCTCGCAAAATATCATTAGTGGAACAATGACACAACTGAACTTGATGTAGAGACCTTGATACTTCCTTAGGACCTATAATCATCCAACCAAGATGAGTACGCACAGCAAACGGATGCTTCCTGTCCCCCAGACGTTGTTCCAGGACCCAATGTCAGTCAGTCAGTCAGTAACAGCGTAGAACTTCGTACGTACGTACATCAGTTCGAGTTGCCACACCACATTAGCACAGAGATGCACTTGTCCATTCAAATCCCGTAGTGGTAAAGGTAATAGGAGTATGAGCAGTAATCGGGAAGATTAGGGTTTGGAGAAGTTATTTAAAGAGTATAATCCAGTGAAATAAATTTCGAAAGAGGAAAAACGGGACATGAAGAATTCAGATTAGAATTTGGGGGAACACAGAGAGTGGATGCACCTGCGCCATTGCAAACGATTTTGAGCCATGTCATTCAGGGTCTCTAACCATCGGTTGCTATCATCTCGTGGTCCCCAACCAGGTAGTCTACACCTACCAACATGATTCAGTTCACTTGTCAGTGACTTCATGGACTTGTGCCATGTTTTGGTCTGGCCGCCCCTAGCTTTCTTCCAACCTACTCCTATACCACTGAACATAGCACGTCGAGGCAGTCGGTGGTTGGGCATACGCAACACGTGTCCCAGCCATCTCAACTGATGAAGTTTCACTACTT